ATATATATATATACATATATAATATATGAACATCTAGGAGTGAGTTTTCTTTCTATGAGTACTCCAACAGATGTTATATAGAAAATCTCAATATCAAATAGTTGAAAGATTATTAATATTTTTACATGAAACCATATGACCTGGGTAAATGTGTTTTGTTAAAGTTAATATTTTGATACTGGTAAATATTTGTTTCCTTTTAGATAAAAAATACTGAGGTGTTTCTGTGACACTTTTCTTTCTATAGTTTACTCACCTGGCAGTTTGGGGAAGCATAATAATCTGGTTGGTGTTCTTCACAATTTACTCTTACTTCTGGCCCACCATCCCTGTTGCTCCTGAAATGGCAGGACAGGTTAGTTCTACCAACCAAGAGTATCTTTACATTCTTCGTGAAAACCAATGTTCATTGTTATAGCTTACACTAGATGTTCCCCTAAAGCCTCATGAGCTCATAGGTGGGGCTTTTGGGAGGTGGCCGGATCTAGAGTGTGTGATAGGGATTAGTAGTAGTGTGTGATAACTAAATCAGCCCACTGATTGGTCAGTCTAGTATATAGTTCTGGTCATGGAACACCCTAGGTGTAAGTGGTACCATCGAACAGGTTTATAGCCTGGATGAGATAAAATGGGACTCAGGAAGGCCTGCTGCTTGTTGCCATTTGCCTGACCCACCACGGACTGTTTCTCCTCTTCCATGCCTTTCTGTCATGCCACCCTGCCTTGGAGCCAGTTCACTATGGAATGAAACCTCTCCAAACTGTGAGCTAAAACAAAACTTTCCTCCTTTAACTTGTGGGTATAGGGTACTTTATCCCAGCAACTAGAAAATAACTAAAGCATTCATTAATAAGAAAAGGTGATGTTACCTACTTTCAAAAATTATTTGAGAAGAAAAGATAAGAATCAGTGCAATGAGAAATAATTGCTGATCTAACTAAATTCTGGTTTACTTATCAAAGTGATTGTTTTATCTAAAACTTCATTACTTCAAACTTACTGTGTCAATCACCCCTCCAAAAATTTGTATCTTTTTTGTATAACTGTAACTGAATCACTGAGATAGATAATGTTATATTTTTCACATTAATGTGCTGTGTTCTCAAATTATTTTGGTACCTGCTAATCCATGTATTGTAAATATTCAAAACATTAAAGACATAAAATAGCCACTCCTTGTGTTTGAAATAGAATAAGTGGTATAAGCATGTAAATATTTTATAGTTGCACAGAAGCTGTTAATTCACTGATATCAACCACAGAAGCTATGTATTCCTAAATTTTATATTGATTTATATATTTTAATTCAATTTTGTTTATAATTACTGTAGGGATTAGACCCTCCATGTTTACAAAATGGGTTACAGAATTCCACTGCACAGGAATTAGAGATAATCTTAATACAAACCCAGGCAGATACTAAACGAAGAAACCCAAGTCCAAGTTTGACCAGCTCATTCCCTGGGTATTTTGACTGTACAACCATCCCTCACACCTTCTGCATTGCACTATGGAGAAGGGAAACAGTCCTTGTACCTCTAGGCCAGGGGCAGCTCAATGCTCATCAGTAAATAAGAATAGTGAAGTAATTCCTGCTCCAGCCACGACGAAGTGTTTGATATTCAAACAACATGACAAAAAGAGCTGTAAAAAACTGAACAAAATATAATTAAAGAATTACTTAAAAGACATTGGCAAGAAGTTGGTAGAGATAAAATTCAAATGTCTGATTCTTGAAAGAAGAAAGATTTTTAGTGCTATACTATTGAGAACATTCCCAAAGCAACAGCCTTTGCATGAAACCTAGGTCACAGCAAACATTCATCCAGGCATAAGAAAATATAAAATTAGTTAATTAAAATAAGCAAATAGATAAAACAGGAGATGGCTTGGAAGTAAAACAATGGTAGCTTGAACATTGTGACAGGAGAGCTCTGCTGCATGAAATTTTATCGGGGCGGGGGGGATGTCTGAGATAAAGCCAGGCCCTCATAGCTTCTCATCCCAGCACAGACCCTGTGCCCCCAACTGCTCCTGCCCTGCTCAGAGCCATTCAGGTTAAATGCAGCAGTGTGCAGACAGTGGCCTTCTACATCTCCAAGAGCATGGTCTGGTGAGTCTCTGAACTTTGGCCCATTATCCAGACCTGCCCAAGGACTGTGTAATCGAGAAGTTTGGTAAACAATCCAAATGTTTCCTGCATCTGCGGTCCTAGATGTGGAAAAAAAATGAAGGTACTGAGTGTGTTTTAGTTTTTCTACTGACAGCCTTGCCCTCACACTCATCTATAACCACAGAGAGGCAGAGGTCCACTTCCAGAACTTCCGAAACAGTTTGTCCTACTGCACAGAGGCTAAGAAGAACTCTGAACCAAAGAAAAAAAATTAAAAATTTTTTTACTCATTCCTTTTATCAGGCAGCATCTAAAAATAGAAGTCTGGGGTAAATAATTTTATCCTTTATAAATATCTCCACAAAGAGAAAATTGGACCTTTGTGTGCGTGCTATTAGTTTGGCTTCTATAGTACTCTAACTTTTGTCATGTTTTTCCACATCGAAGGTTGTTTCATAGGGTTTCCTAATTTTGTGTTTCTGTTAACTCATTAGATTTAATCTCCCTGTCTTTTCTCTTCCATTTATGTTTCCATCTTTCTTTCCTTCTCACAAATCTCTCCTTCCCCCTGCTTTTCTAGTCTATAAATACTATTATTAATGTGTATGTTTCTTTTTTAAAAAAAAAATCTCTTCTATATTATTCTTCTTCCTTCCTTGTTAGTGAAATAATAGAGAACTTTTAAATGTTTTAAATTATATGTTGACATATGGTTGGTTCTCTAGATGTTGATATTACTGGTACTGTGTTTCTTTGATAGTATGAAGGCCTAATAGGCAGTGCTACACACTCTTCCTGAGCGGGAGGCCCTTCCTTTCCCCTCTGTATATATTTTTGGTCTCTTTGTTAAAAATCATATGGCTGTAGGTGCATAGTTGTTTTTGCATTTTCTGTCCTTTTTCATTGTTAAGTATGTTTGTTTTTGTGCCATGTCATGTTGTTTTTGTTACTATGGCTTTGTGGTATAATTTGAAGTGGGATACTTTGATGCATCCAGTGTTGCTCCTTTAGTTTAGAATTGCTTTGGTTATTCTGGGTATATCGTGCTTCCATATGAATTTTAGGATTATTTTTCTAGTTCTGAGAACAATGGTGTTGGCATTTTAATAGAGATCACTTTGAGTTTGGGTAATATGGCCATCTTAACAGCATTGTTTCTGCTGACCCACAAACTAGGCGGGTCTTTCCACCTTCTAATGTCTTCAATTTCGTTCTTCTGTATTTTGTAATTACCTTTATAAAGGGCATTCGCTTTCTTGATTAGGTTGATTCCTATGTTTTTGATGTTATGTGAAGCTACTATAAATTGAATTGTTTTCCTAATTTCTTTTTCAGTGGGCTTATTGTTGGCATATAGGAAAGCTGTTGATTTTTGTCTGTTAATTTTGTATGCTGCCATTTTGCTGAATTTGTTTCTCAGATCTAAGAATTCTCTGGTGGCATTTTAAAGATCTTCTATGTAAAGGAATGTATCATCTGCAAATAGGGGTAATTGAACTTCTTCCTTTCCTAGATATATCACTTTTCTTTCTTTCTCTTGCCTATTTACCTGGCTGAACTGGACACCCTCATGTTATTCCTGATTTTAGATAAAATCTTTTCAGTTTTTCCACATTCACTATTATATTTGTTGTGGGTTTGTCACATATGGATTTTAGAATTTGAGGAAATTATAGTGCTTGTTTTATTAAATTAGGTGTGCTGTTTGGTGCATATATAATTATAATTGTTAACTTTTCATGGTAAATTGTTTTATTTACTGATATCTATTGACCTTCTTTACCTCTTCGAACCAATTTTAGCTTGGAATCTACTTTGTCAGACATAAGAATAGTTACTCCTGCTTGCTTTCAGACTCCAAATACTCGGACTTTTATTTTCCATCCTTTCATTTTCAGTCTGTGTATGTACTTACACATGAGGTGTGTTTCTTGCAGGCAATACACAGTAGAGTCTTTTTTTTTAATCCAGTCTGACTGTCTTTGTCTTTTAATTGGATAATTAAAGTCATTTATATTAAATGTTATTATTGAAAGATATGTACTAATTCTTGTCACTTTGGTTTTTTTCTATTGCTTGATTTGTTCTTAATTCTGATTCATTCATCTACTCTCCCAGTGTGACTTATTATTTCTAATCTCATGTATGTGATTGTCTTCTTTCTCTGTGTTTAGGATTCCCTTGAGTATTTTCTGCAATTCTAACTTAGTGGCTATGAATTATTTTAGTTTGTGAGTATCTTAGAAAGTCTTTATTTTTCATGTGATCTTGAAGGGTAGCCTTGTTAATATAGTAATCTAGTCTGGCAGTTATTTTCTTTTAGTACTTGAAATACATCATGTCAAGCCCTCTTGGTCTTTAGAGTTTCTGTTGTGAAGTATGCTCTAATCTTGATGGGTTTGCCATTGTAAGTGACTTGGCATTTCTCTCCAACAATTTGTAATATTCTTTATCTGTACTGAACTTTTGGCAATTTGACTATACCTTGTGGAGAAATTATTTTCTGATCATGTCTATTAGGGTTCTAAATACCTCCAGTAGCTGTATGTCCATCTCATCCCCCAGATTTGGCAATTTTTCTGCTATAATTTCTGTGAATAGGTTTTGTGTGCCATTAGCATGTACTTCCTCACCTTTCTCTAGACTGGTGAGTCTTAAAGTTGTTCTTCAAGGGTTGTCCAACAATCCATACATATTTTTTAAACCCGTTTTTGTTCAGAAAGAACTATGTGTAAAGTTGGGGTTGAAGGTGCTGCAGCTGCTGAAGTGACCCAAGCCAATAAAGAGGACCCAATTAGTTTATACTGGGACAAGAAGATGCCTTGAGTGCCTCTCAGAAATCAGCAAGATTCCCACTTGCTCCAAGGCACAAGTGTATATAAAAAAACCTTTCATTTGAGACCAGAGTCCCTGGGACACTTGTTCAAGAAGAGCTTCCTGGAAATTGATTCTCCAGGATTGATTTCACTGTGCTCAGCTACCCAGGCACTCAGAGTCAGTACATGCATGGTTCAAGGGGGCCTGGCTACTCCTCCCACTGACAGAAGACCTTGACATTGTTAACATTATGCTGATTTTACTGGCATGCACAAGGCAGAATTTTGGTGTTAGGGGGGTATTCAAAGGAAGGCCTAGGAGGCCTGGCAAGGAGCTCCTGAGAGAGCAGTGCATGAACCTGTGGGAATGAAGCCAAAGGTATTAGTGGAAGACGGGGATGCTGTTTGGAGCCTCTGGCAGGTCTACAGTAAAATACAGCAAAGGCCATTAGAGTTTTGGAGAAAGACTCTGCCATTATTTGTAGGCAACTACTCAACTTCTCAACTTCCCTTGAGAAATAACTTCTGGCCTGTCACTGGATCTTAGTAAAAGCTGAACACTTGACCATGGACACCAGGTTTCCATGTGACCCAAGCTGGCCATCATGGGTCCTAACTGATCCAACAGGTCATAAAGTTGAATATGAACAGCAATAATCCATCATCAAATGGAAGTGGTATACACATATCCAGACCTGAACAGATCTTAAAGGTCTTAAAGAAGTAAGTTACATGAAAAAGTAGCCAAATGCCCATAGTTTCAACTCATGCTGTACTGTCTTCCATCCTGCAGCAGGCACATATGCATCATGTAGTATATGCTAAGATCAGTTGACAGAGGAAGAGAAGACTAGGGCCTGGTCTACAAATGGGCAGCATGGTCTGAAAGCCTTCTCTGCCCTTTCCTCCCTCTCCCAATGGATCTCTTGCTCATGTAAACCTTCTTGGTGTCTTCTGCCTGGCTGACCCAAATTAATATAAACATAATAAATATTATAAGAGGATGTTATTAACAACTCTATATAACAAATGAATAAATCTGTATACATGGCAAAAATCCACAAATACAAATTACAAAAATGATAGAGCCAGATGTCATGCAGAGGTTTTGGCAGATAAATAGGTGTGTGGTTCATGCGCTCACCATTTTCCCCTCAGTTTATTTGGTGGACTGAGACAGCATGAAGTAGGAAGGTAAAACAGAAGGAAACCTCCAAAGAACAGAGTACTGATCAGGATCAGGAGACAGATTTTGAGACGTACCATTATAGAATTACAGAACACACTAGGCACTCAGTCAGTCAAAAAATAACTCTGGAGACCCAAAGGAAAACTGGAGGTAGAGGGAGGCTTACCCAAGTCACAAATCAGTACATTCCCTTACAGAAAATGATTAAACCACCAACTAATGTGCTAGGCAAAGAGAAGAGTGAATTCTCTTAGGAGAATATAACGTAATTGTTAAAAATATAATGTCTAGCAGTTAAAGTTGCACTGATGACTAATTTAACATCGAACTACCCTTGCATTCCTGGAATAAAAACCTATTTGATCATATTATTTATTTGATTGTTTGGTTGTAGAATATATTGTTAAATTAGCTAATGCTATCACTGGGCATATGCACCTGTATTGGTTTGGTGGTTTTAGTTTCATGTTGTCTTCATATCTTCTCTGGTGTCTCTTGTTGTGATGGAACAGAAGAAACAGAAAGCTACACTGGTACTCAATACTGACAAACTGAAATAATATTCTTTGTTTATTTGTAGGCCAGTGTGATCCTCGTTTCTCCATGCTTCTGGCTGGGTTTTGTCCTAGTCCCTACCACATGTCTGATTAACGATGTGTTTTGGAAATTGTAAGTATAAAAATGAAGTGGTAACCAAAATACATTGTAGTGCTTAACTACCATTTTCCAATTATACATATGTGTTTCTAATCAAACCCAGAGCCACCTTGTGAATATTAAATGTCATGGCTTATTTATTTATTTATTTATTTTTCTTTTTGTCATAGCGTTTTTTAAAAAGGGGAAACAAATGTCTTCTGCCTTATTTTTTATTTACTTACTTACCATTGAGGAATTACCAGGAATGTACTTAGAGGGGGAAAAATAGATAATCAGAATGTTTGAGAGAGAATTTGAGATTTCCTATTCGTGTTCTCACATTTTCTAGAAGCAGGCCCATTTCTTCACTCTTTGCAAGTGTGATTTATATCATTTTTATCTAATTTATAGTAACCAAAACTGGATGTGAAAGGATCACATATTAAAAACTAAAAAGAACAATATGAGGGGCTGGGAATTTAGCTCAGTGGTTTGGTGGCCTGCATTGCAAGTTCAAGGACCTGAGTTCAAAAAAAAGAACAATAGGAGAGAATATCCAACAAAAAGGCATTTTTTACTTTTTAAATAAAATTGAAGAGAGTGTCTCAGATACAGTCTCCCTAATATGTAAATGTTATAGGATGTCAATTTTTTAAAAACCAAGTTGAGCAAGAAAAAAAATCATTAAGATTTTAAAATACCTGAAATCTCTAATGTTAAAGGATTAAAGAAATTATAAGGTTTAATAATAGAAAAAATTTAATAAGAATATGAATTATTGAACGTATTCTTTAGCATGAACAGTAAAGCTTGCAAACATACATTTCAAATTAATTAATGAACAAAGAAAAGCATATACTAGAATGAGTAATGTTAATTTTCCTTTTCACTGTCCAATTCTTTTTTAATTTTCCTGTGTATCAGGGAACACATAATTATTTGAAGAGCCCAAAGTGGCCAATTGAATTTATCCCAGCACAGCCAGCCCTGAAATGTGTCAGGTTTTCTTCCCTGTCCCATCTCCCTCATACACACTGTCCTCTTCCCCTCCTCTTCCCTCTCCCTCTTGTGTGTACATGTGTGTGTGTGTGCATGTCTGTGTCTACGATCTTTTCATTCATCTTCCCTGAGAGTTTGAGAAGTTTCTTGAAGAACTCTTCACATTGGTCTTTGCTTCTCCATCAAAAGTAGCTATGGCAAATGCATCAAAAGCACTGATAAGTTTATAATGTCTACATTTATCTGTATCATCCTGAAAAAAGGCATGAGGTTTCAGACACAGATGAACTACTCTACTCTCCACAGAACTAGCCTCCTGTGGCTACTTAGTCCAGCTACCTGCAAATTTCCCTTTGTGGGAAACACAATGAGCAATGGCTGGACCAGCCTGCCATATTAGGGTTGTAATGCTAGATAAGAAGCCAAAGATACGAACCCTGGAGTTTGTGTTGGACAGAGGCAGCTCCTCTCTCCTAATGAGACAGAAAGGAAACTGCTCTCTAATGCAAACAATCTTCATGAGAGATAAAGGGAAGGATTTCAGGTTCCAACCCATTGCAGTATAAATACAGTTCTCAGGAATGAGATAAAGCAAGAGCCTCTGACTTTATAGTTCCTGGAATACTGTATCTTCCTCATCACAAATGTGTCCCTTTTTGAAAAGTAAATATTTTTACCCTCAAATAAAATGTGGTAGTCCCTACCACATTTATCTATATGATAAATTTTACCATGGGGGGGGGATCTTCCTAATTTAATGAGCACTTATGGACATGGCTTTGTGTTAATAGGTCTGTGATTTTGTTCAATAAAAACATTCACAGCTGAAATTCCCCAGAGGGCTGGGAGTGTAGCTCAGTAGCAGGGGACTTGCCTGGCATAATGAGGCCCTGAGTTCCAACCTTGCCTCTCAAAATGCAACCAAAACAAAACAAAATAAAAAATCCACAAATAAGCCATTTCCCATTATTCAGACACCTTCAATCTGTGTTCTGAAGAATTCACAGCCCCAAAGATACTTTCTCAATTCCAAAATGTTCTTGGCAGCAGAACCAGGGCCACTGAGGAGACAGAGTTTACCTGAAACTGTAATCTGCAGAAGATTTCCATTTTAAAATAAGCATTTCATCTGTAAACCTAAGCATATATTTGTGTTTGTATGTTAAAACATATATTGACCCTATTTCAGCCTGTATTTTTGATTACTTATAGGTGTGTGTGTGTGCGTTTGTGTGTGTGTGTGTTACTGGGAATTGAACCTAGGAACCTAGGGGCCTCCACATTGAGCTACATTGCCAGCCTACTCCTCCTCTAGACCCCACGACCAGTTCACTTCCTTAGAGGAGGTTTTGCTGATACCTTCAACAAGCTCCTACCTCTACCTTACATGGTCACAACACTGTCTTCCCTGTCTCCTTTGTCTACTGTCACCTGTTTCTCCTAGTTTTCCTTTCTGAGAACACAACCTGTATGGCCTCTGTGTGCTGCTAAGGCACTGAGAAGCATTACTAGAGGGGTGAAGGCTGGAGCTGGGCAGTGCACATTAGAGCTGGATTTGTGAGAAGTAGAGATGATACCTGATTTTGCCCTGGCACCAAATTGCAATTCAAGAAACATTTTTGAGGAGCACACAAGCGGATGAATGATAAGTGCCAGAGTATAAATAGAAATTCCATGCAAACAATTTATTAAAGAAAGAAAAAGCATCTGTCTGGTCACTTCTATGTTTCAAGTTTAGCTTCTGCACACCTGATTCATGAGCTTCTGAGACTTCTACCCTGCCATTATAAGTGCTATAAATGGCAAGGTTACCCTAGGGCCCTCTGAAGTAAATACAGAAGGAAGTGAATGGCTGAAAGAATTTAAGCATCAGGATTCTGAAATGGTGACCATAAGGAATCATGAGTAAGTCTTATGAATCTTTAGCTCACTGCCTGACTGATAAGGGGGAAGTGCTCCCTCCAGAGCCAGAGATCCTCTGCACCGGACACACATCTGGATGGATCCCCAGGCTTGTATGGAGATGATCGGTGTTGGGGCAGCTGCTCTAATGCACATGCCCAGTGCTGCCCTGCACCCCTCCGGAAGTGCTCTCAGCTGCTAGAAAAGTCAGGTCTTGTGTCACACAGAGGCTGAGAGTGTAGTGTTGTGTTCCATCCATCACATGAGGATGCTCATTTGTCATCTAAGAGGGGAGAGAACAGTTTTTCAAAGTTGTAAAACTCATGTGTTATATACATTTTATCTTTTCCATGCGCTACAGGTTTAGAAATACCTATAAAAGAAGTCTTCTAGAGAAAATTCGCCAGCTGGAAAGTGACAAAGTTAAAGGATTTGATTTTTCTGCGGTGTTTGGGAGGAGGAGGTGAGGCTATTCTCTTCATGTGTTAAGAATACATTCTCATTTTCTCTTCTTTGTCTCTCTTTGTTCATCTCTGTCTCTCTCTTTGTCTCTCTGTGTCTGTATCTCTGCCTGCCTTCTTTGTCTCTGTCTGCCTCTGTCCCTCTCTCTCTCCTCTCCCCCCCACCTCTCTCTCTCTGTCTCTCTCTGTGATGGGGGATGGAACTTAGGACTTCATGTATGGGAGGCAAGTGCTCCACTGCTGAGCTGCCCCTAGTTTGTTTTTCCTCACTCATTCTTGTGCTTTCCTTCTTATTCTTTCTTCCAGTGTCAACTCCCAGGAATGTCCAGACTCTACCTGACTCCTCAGGTTCATATCAAACAGACCCATTCTCCTCTTCCCCTTGAGGGAGAACACAGGACACAGTAGTATAAACACATGTGAATTTTGGCATAGGAAAAACTATTCAGTAGTGATAGAAATCAGAGCAGCTGTTTTCCATTTAAATTCCACTGGGAAGTTTCAAGAATGAGTTTTTGACAGAAAGAAGGTATTCTACCTCTTGACTTGGGAGATGGGTACACGTCTCCCCTTTTCAAAACTCACCATGATGGGTGGGGGATTTGCCTCAGTGGTTCCCCTGTTTGCTTTGGGAGCACAAGGGCCTGAGTTCAATCCCCGGTACCCCCCCCCACAAATTAGAACAAAACTCATGATGGTGAACTTTTAAGATCTAGGCATTTTATGATCACAAAATGAACTTCAGCGAAAGAAACTAAAACCAAAGTATAAACATGGTACAGAAAGAGAGCTCTCATAACAAAGGGTTATTATTCTTCAATGGACAAAGTACTTTAAAATTTGGAGAATTTCCAGAATTCATGAGAAAAACAGCACCAAACTATAGAAAAGTCAGCAAACAGTTCATGAAAAAAAGGCATAAGTATTTGTCAACTTCAGGTATAATAAGAAATATAAATAAATGTGAAAAACATTTTTCATCCATCAAAGTTGCCAACCCTTGGTCGGTGAAGATGTGAGGAAGGAAAGACTTAGGGCAGTTACCTTGGTAATATTTACCATAAATACAAATATGAGTAGCTTGTGACTCAGCAAAGTCTTTTCTGAAAATTTATCCCTCATCATTGCCCTGGAAATACTTGCAGATATCTCACTGTAAGGGACTGCAGCAGTATTTGGAATAGCAAATATTTAGGGACAACAACACATCTACACACTAAAATAGTCAAGCTGTGCAAAGAAATGAGGACTTTTTCATATATTGTGATAGAAACATCCCTACGATGCATTAACAGAAAAATTAAATACAGAACAATCTATAGTATGTAAACTTTTGTGCAAAGGACAAGGATAATAAAACTACATAATAATTTTCACTCATAAAGCACTTCTGCAAAATTACTCAAGAAACATAAGAAATACTAGGGATTACCAGAAAGGAATGAAAGTGAGAGGGCCAGGCAGGTAAGGGGCAAGAAAGGTAAAGTGTGAGTTGTCTATGTTTATTTACTTTTTTTTTTTTTTTTTTTTTTTTTTTTTTTTTTTTTTTTTAGTTTATAACCATATACAAATTTTATCTGAGAGAAAATATAAGTGGGTAAATAGATTCTGGAACACCCAAACCAAATGTAGTTCAGCTACTGGACTTAGGCACCAGAGTAGAATCCTTATCTGATTCTTTTAACTACTTTAGAAGATTTCACTGTTCTCCCTCCCCTTCAAACAGTCCCTGGAGATCTTCCTCTGAGCTGGAAGGGCAGACTCATAGCTTGCAAGAGGCAGGGGTTCTTTGAGGCTGGTATCAGGAGCAGGAAGAGGAAACCCTCTTCCCACAGGAGCTCATGGAGTGGGGTGCTGTTGTGAATGATGAAAGTAGTTGTAGGTTATCATACAACCTCCAGGCCCCTCTCATCTTTCTAAATACCAAGGTACACGACAAATCCAACACAGCATAAGACTTCTATTGTTACGGAAGGAATTGGCAAGTGACACACAAAGAGGCAGCAGAATGGAAGTAAAATAACAAAAGTTTACTCCGTGCATGGGGATTGATGACACCTAATGGTGGTGCCCTGATCCATCCAGTACTCGGCTACAACTCCCCTTTTATAGGGTTTTACAGCCTTGATCTCATTCAGGTGGTTACACTGCGTTTCCACAGTTCACACTGCTGATATTCAAAACACGGTGGCCAGGCAGTTGAATTTCAACCCAGAAGTAGCACTTCTTTGTTAGGGGAAGTTACCTTTAAGATTTAGTTAGTTATTTATTCTAGCCAAGGGGAAGGGAGTGTGTTTGGTCAGCAAAGCTAACAATGGTTCTTTTCATTTACAAAACGTTTGAGGGAGACTAGATGCCTCCAGTGCCAGTTAATTCTGATCTAAACAGAGCAAAGGGAAGAAGTTATCTTATATTGTGATATCTAGGTTTTTGCTGTTAAAATTTTCCCTATCACTATGACCTGGTGACAGTCTAATATGTAAGAAAGAAGAGTAGGCTAGACTATGTAGGTCTGTTTTTAACCCTATTTTTCAGGTTACAAGAAAAAAGAGAAGAAAAACAGCTTGAATTTCCCTTATTACACCTTTTGGAGGGGTAAGTTTGTAAAATTACCCCACTGTTTAAAATTTAGAAAGTCTTGTACTTAAATTTTCACTGTGGTCCCACAACATGCTTTAAGGGCAGCAGAAGGTGGTCCCACTCAAGAATATAACAACTTTTCTTAATATGCATTTCCAGAACCGATGTACTGAAGAAATGCTCATAGCAAAACACTATTTTGGAAGCAATACCTTGCTGAGTGTCCAGATAATGTCATGTTATTTTAAATACCTAAGCATTCTTCAAAATATGAAGACAGTCTCTTACTTTCACTTGCAACTTAATTTTTCCCATAAATCCCTTTGAGATCTGTCACAATGAATTAATGCTGGCTTTATCTGATTTACTCCCAGGACGACAGCCACAGATGTCCAAACATCCTTAGCTCCCAAGCCCTGTGAAGTTGTCTTCCAGGAGAGTTCTGTGGACCTAAGTGCTCCATGTAAGTAACACATCTTAAAATGGTTCATAACATTTAAACTCGATCTACTTACAAGGAAGATGAGGAATTAAAAGTCAGGCCATTCTACTTAGAGCATTATGCTCTTGAAATAAGCATACCACAAGAGAAAAAAAAATACTTTATGATCCCACTTATATGTGATACTCAGAGGAATCAAATTCATGGATTCAAAAAGAAAGGTGGTTGTCAGGGGAGGATGAAGGGGAATGGATAGTTAGAGTTTACCAAGTACAGAGTTTCAGTTTTGCAAGATTAAAAAAGTTCTAAAGATAGATGGTTGAACAACAGTGTTAATGTACCTAATGCCACTGAGCTGTGCATTTAAAAATAGTTATTTGTATTTTATCACAGTTATAACAAATAAATGGAAATCACCTCTATTATTATCTATTTTTTAAAAATAAAGTAGTTCTTAAAGACCTCCATTAAATTTGAGAAATTAGTGTGTTTGGCACAAAGCAAGTGCATTTTGAAAGAAGATGATTTCTGATTTTTCTTTCCTAAACCATAAAATACTTAAATATCAATCCTTAGATTTTTTTTTTTTTTTTTGTACCAGGGATAGAAGTCAGGACCTCATGCTTGCCAGGCAGGTGTTGTGCCACTGAGCTAAATCCCCAATCCAATCCTTAGGTTTTAAGATTTTGATAGTTTCCCATTGAACCATTTCAAAGGTAAAAATGGCATTAATCTCAGATGATTTTTATTCAAAGAAAAATTACACACACCATTTTGGTATATAGTTAAAATAACCCAATAAGGCTAATTTTAAAATTTTTTAAAAAGTTACTTCACTTCCCTCTCCCTGAATAAGAAATACATTCAAAAGTGCATGGATGAATGACTGAGGCCCTGTGTAACCTGTGTTTGGCAATATTAATTCTGAATATTGTACTAGGAAAAGAAACAAGTCAAACAAAACATCACAACTATAAGAAAATGTGATATATGTTGGGAATGAAACCTACTTGCTCCCTTTGTGTGGCAAAATGTTCACTGAAAGTTGTAAAATTCTTATTTTTATTTTCAATATATTTTATTAGTGCTGACTCATTTTATAAAATATTGGGTTTTAGTGTATTTTCATACATGCATATATTTTGATCATATCCATTTCCCTATTGCCCTCCCTTACACCCTCCTCTCAATTGTAGAGTTTTTAGTTCTAGGTTCTCTCATAATTTTTTTATCTCTAGAATTTATGCCTCTTTGGATATTACTCTCTTGAGTATACACATCCAGCTTCTTAGGCCTGTCCTACATCCACCACTTTATTTTTTCTCTCTCCATAAAGATATTTAGGAAGAAACAACTAAATGGCAATGGAAGGTAAAAAATTAATCAAGACAAGAAAACAAAGCAGAGCAAACATCTTTAGGATCTGGGTTAACATCTCTCTCATCCTCATTTCCAACTACTGACCTTAATTTCTACTCTCCTAAGAAACTGGCATGAGGAATGTCCTTTGCTGTGCTCTTTCAGCACCTTGCCTGTCAGCTGTGCCCATCCACATGCTCAGCCTTCACACCTGTGCCCATGGATCTGCTCTGCACATCCTGCCTGAAGCCAGTCCTTTTATTTGTGCCATTGGTTCCTGCTACTCTTTCCTACTCAAGAGCCTCACTCTAGCAATTCACTCAGTGCTTCTTCCACCATCAGTTTTCTACTCTCCACTGGCTTATCCTCACCAGTGCATGCAATAGGTTGTCTTAAGAGGTAGAATCTTCTTTTGATCTCATGTTACCCATTAGATTTTGCCTCATTTCTTTTCACTCCATCATAGCAAAAGTTCTTTATGAAATCATCTCCATCCATCACCTTGAATTCCTCTCTAGAGAATGCTATTCTCTCTTAAGCCCACTCTATTCAGATGTTCACTCTCACTATTCAACCAAGATGATTCTGTCAGAGCCAGCAGAAAACTTATGGTTCATTCCCACTCCTCAAGTTGATTGCTATACCAGCAGTACCTGGCACAGGGGCTGCTTCTTCCTCCTTGGCATGTTTATTTTTCATGATTTCTAATGCACCACACTCTCTGAGTTTCTCCTACCTTGCAGGTCACTCCTTTTTCATTGTGACTGACTTCCCTTTTCTCTCCAGTTTCTTAATATTTGAATGTCCCAAGGCTCAATTCTTATTTTCTTTTTCTTCTTTTTAATGTTTCTACACCCAGTTTGTTGATGATTTCATCCAGTCTTAGGGTTTTAAATACTACCTCTATATGGATTACTCCCAAATTTGTATGTCCAAAATACATCTCTCTTGGGCAGGGGATTTAGCTCAGTTGTGCCACTGCTTGTCTCACAAGTGCAAGGTCCTGAGTTTGATCCCCAGTAACCCCCCAATACAAACAAACAAATAAAAAACAACAACAAAATGCATCTCTCTTGCAAGTTCCAAATTCAAATATCCAATGTCTCTATTTTGTTATCTAACAGATATTTCAAACTTCATGTGTCTAAACTGAACCCCTGGTTTCCTCTCCCACTAAGCCTGTCCAATCTGCAGACTTGCCCATCTCTGTTGATGACAGTTCCATTATTCTGATTGCTCAGGCCCAAATCCTGGGGGTCAAATTTAATTCCTCTTTTCTTTCACACATCAGGTCACTGCATTGACTCTGCTGTCATACTATACTCTGAGGCTGACCACTTTGTACCCTTGCCATGGTTCCTACCCCCATCTGAACCATCCTCATCTCCTCTGCAAAACTTAACTGGCTTGCTAACAGGCCTTCAGGCCTCTAATCTGTTCTCCTACATAGCCAAAGAGGTGCATTTAAAACTACAGGAGAGTAAGCACATCCAATTTTGCATACCTAGCACCCTGGAATGGCTGTCTATCATACTTAAAGTGAAAGTCCAAGTCCTTACAACAACCAGCAGAGACTTGGACTCCATTACTTTCCTGGTGTTATCACCTACCTGTCTTACCCCTTCGTTCCACTCCAGCGTTTGTATTCCTTTTTTTTTTTTCCTGGAGGTGGTGGTGTTGATACTGGGGATTGATCCCATGGCTTTTCTACTGAGATACATCACCAGAACCCTTCTTATTTTTTATATTTTGAGCCAGAGTCTTCCTAAGTTATGCTCATTGGGCTTGAACTTGCAATCCTCTTGCTTCAACCTCTCAGAGTGCTGGGATTATAGGTGTGTGCCACCATGCCTAGATCTCTGTTCGTTTATTGTAACATCACAGAATGATCCTGCCCTGGGGCTTCTGCCTCACTGCACCTTCTGCCTCCATTGCTAATTCCTCATCACCTGTCTGTACAGGTGCCTGCACAGCTGTCTGTCTGTACAGACAGCACTTCTTGCAAGTCTTTACCCAAACATGACCTTCTCAGTGAAGCCTAAATGGAACACTCTATTGCCACACAACCCCTGTCTTGTCTCCTGTTTGCTTTTTCTCTTGTTTATAGCTCTTTATTACACTCTTAGGGACCATGTGATTTGCTTTTTATTATGTCATTGCTTACCATCTGTCTTCATTGCTAAAATGTAAGCTCCAGGAGAAGAAAGATCTTTTGTTTTCTTCACTGACTCACTCCAAGCAAGAGGAAGAGCACCTAGTATATAGTAGAACTAATACTAGTACATTTTTTCACTAAATTTATTAGTTAATAATCCAAGCTGAATTATACACTCAGCTATCAGATCCTCATCCCTTCTATATCTCTAATGTAAACTATTAGTGTGGGTAAAATGGGGCCAATAGTTTTTGAGGACATATGGTGAGTTTGGCCCTCTGATAAACACTTGAATTTTTTTGCATTCAACCTTTGGAGCTACAAGTGGAGATAATTATCAGACACCTATCGAATGAAAGAATAATTAAGTGAATCCCCATTTACAGAGGAGGATGTATTTCTTAAGCAAAGTTAAGTCACTTGCCCTAGATTTTAGACCTTGTACCTGGTGGAACCCCGCCTGGAACTGTAGTCTATTCCACTTCAAAATACATTTTTAAGCTCCAGAGCAGAGACGTGATCAGACAGGAAGCTGCATCCCAGTTGTGCCACTCAATCAGCTACATAATGGTAAGGAAGTTAGTTATCTCTGAATATCTCCAACGCTTGTTCTTGGGATCACTGTAGGCAATACAAAATATTAAAAAGATCATATGCATCTTAATTCAGATACAGAAGTAACTGCCTCTGAAAGCTAATACAAAAGCTTGCATAAGATCAAGACTATGAAAGACCTCAAAATAACATTGAATGCATCGGAGAAACAGAAAATATATATATATATTTCCGATTTTTAAAGAAGTATTCATTATAAGAAGAAATTAATTTTGCAATTATATTCTTTAATATTAATGTAGAAAATACTATACTGTTGGATGATTATACATTTTGTTATATTACAAGGGATTCTAAGATATTTTACTTACTCAAGTCTTCTCTTCCTATTCAAGGGGAAATGCCTCAGCCAGTATGTAGCTTTGAGGTCCTGTATGTTTTTCTTAAATTTACTTTTTATGCACTTGTTGTATATTGTAATTTCTTTCTAATTCTAAATAAACACAGTATTTGCTTTTAATATTTACAATATTAACTTGAATTTTTTAAATGCTCTAAGCAATTCAAATAAGAAAGAGGGAATTCTCTGTTAATTGCAATACGCTAGTGATTCTTCAAGACAGAATATTCTGACTTTAAAATACCATCAGACTCCCAGATGTGTAATGAAGTAAGTCAAATGAGACAGTTATACCAAAACAATGAAAAGTGACATGGTTATTATGAAATCTGTTAAATGTTTCACTAGGTGAAAAAACAAAATCATATGGAAATCCTCACATCTTGTCCTCTACCCTCCCTCCCTTTCCTTTCCTCCCAGATTCTAGCTTTAGCTAGCATTTAGGAAGCGCGTGCTTCAGGAAGCCAGCCAGGGAAAGTTCACCAGTTGAGTCCATGGAGCCCATCCTCCAGGCTCTCATCAGGGCTGTCAAAACTTCCTGAAAGATGAGTATATGTAGGAAATGCAAATGATGGGGCTTCCTCTGAGCTCCCATTGGATGCAAATGGCAGTTGAATGTTCACTAGGCAGACTCTGATTGAGCCAATCTCCTGTCTGTCAAGTTGTGGGCTGAGGCTGGGCAGGTAGAGATCCATTGCCTAGGTTTCTATTTTCCCACTTAAACTACTACTCTTCCCAGGAAACACTGAAAAGGAAAGCAGTATAAGTTTCCAAGGATATATGTTGCCTCTAAATAAAGACAGATCCAGGTTTCACGAGAAAAATTTTATACATATTTGAATTTTCGAGGCCCTCTGCAAGAAAAGAACACAAAACTAAAACATAAAACTAAAGGGTGTAAAATTAGATCAAAAGTAAATACTGTTTATTTAGAATTAGAAAAAAATCACACTATGCCACTTGTGCATAAAAGTGGACAAATGTCACAACATCGCCTAGGGCTCTGACTGCAGCAGTGTAGCACAACCTTGGTCAGCTCCAGGGAAATGGCTCTGTGCTTGCACTTTTGCAAAACAAGGCAGAACTTTCCCTAGGCCAAATTCATCACAGGGCTTAACTCCCTTAAGGTCTTAGGTTAAGAATTAAATAAGGAAAACTGGCCTTTCAAAAAGAGAAGTTTGGGGCCCTGGATTTAGTTCAGTGGTTGCACTGGGCACCTTGCAAGTACAAGGTCCCTTGTATGATCCCCAGTATCTAAAAAATAAAAAAAGATGTATTTGGTTTCTCCAATTCTGAATGCGGTTGACCAACTGAAGAACTAACACTTCTTTCATTGAGAAAGAGTGGAAATATTTTTTGGCTTGTCCATTTTTATAGTCCTCCATGCATGTGTGATTGGAACATGTGAAAATAAGAGAATGAATACTGTTTTACCACCTAGGTTATTCACATGGCTAACTTAGCGTAGGCCTGTGCTTCAACAGTGAGGCTGCTGAAAGTTCACAAAACCTTTCTCACTCAGTGTCCTGTCCCCTCTTCCTTAGGACATTCCCTCATGTTTCCTCAGAGCCATTTATTCCCTGTGTGTCTATGTTACTGGCATGACTCAGTCCAACCTGAATCTGTGCCCTACAATCTGGGTTCTTTTGCCTGCCCACCACCACACCACGTGAAAAGCCCATCAGAATGGAAAAATGAATTTATATACAATTTGACCAAATTGGGAGGGCAACCCATCTACACCCTTGCCTTGAGTGCACAGAAGTACTCTGATTAATAGAAAGCGTAGAAGAAAAGCTGGGAAATACCTATGTGTGGATTGAGCCAAACTTTGGCCCAGAGAGCTGGAAGTGTTGAACCTTGCTTAGCATCAGGACTGGGTGGTACTGTTTATATTCTCAGCATGAGAAAGCTGGAGCATCTGTCTCTCTCTTAAAAAAAAAAAAACAAAAAACTTTTATCTTTTTAAGATATATTTTAACCTTTCAGTAATAGCTATACATTGGAAGCAATGGGGCATTTTTTAAAACCTTTTTCTACCTTTAGATTCTAATTCAATTTGCCCACAGTGGGAAGGGAGGAAGAAGGGAAAGAAGAGAGGCAGGAAGACATCCTCAAGGATTGGAGAATACTGATACTGGCATCTAGCCAGAGATTGTGATGGCACTATCCTAAAATAGTAGTATTTCATGCACAATCCTGTAAAAATGGCAAAATTGTAACAAATTTAGTTTTGCAGAACTTAATTGTCCTTGAGATATCAACGAAGACCCAAAATGCTTCAGAATTCCTCCCCATCACTTGTGCAGGTTATATTGATAGCCAGAGAAAAGGAAGTGACAGAAGTGGGGGAGGAATGCCTTTTGCAAATGAGAGGGGAATCAAAGAATGAAGGAAGAGAGGAGAAAGAAGAGGAAAAGGAGTAATAAAAAAATACTAAGATGCAATGTAGATATGTACTGATTCCCTACAATGAATGCATTCATTATGGATCAAAAACATGTACAGTACTAATAGAAATGTTTAGAAATGCCAGTTCAAAGTCACTAAATTGGATGCTCCAGAGGTGGAGTCCATCCATTACCAGGTGAATTCTGGTGCACACTGGTGGAGAGCCAGTACGCTAGCATTTGGGTGGGATACTAGAGCTTTCCCCAGGTCCTCAGGTGATTCTAATGTACAGAGAAGGTTGTGGATGGCACACCTTTTGAAACTTGCACACAGAAACATTGCATTTAATTAGTGATCAGTAGATAACACATGGATATGAGTTCCATTGATAGTTTATTTTTATAGCATGGATTCTCACTAGTAAATCTGCTATTACTAGCACTCAAATAGTGATTGCCCAACTCTATGTATTTTAGTCTGAGTGTATTACTCAGGTATGTGATTGATCTGTTGTCCAACCTACCAAGGCCAAGAGTTAGTGAGGGATAGAAATACTTGGTAACTTTCTATATTGAGTGCCCGGAGAACTTTCAGAAGGTCTGTAAGAGTGGTCAGTCGTCTTAGGGATGTAGTGCTGATCAATTAGTTCATTCATCTAAGAATCTCTTCTAATGATCTTATTATTTATTTCAAATAGACTAAACCACTTGGAAACCCATTCAAATCAGCCACATTTTAAGACAGGAATGTTTCTAGTATGATGGAATCTTCACTGAACTGAATATTACTGTTGTGTGTTGTCTCCCCAGCACATTTTCAGCTTCATGAATTACTTTCCTTATTGCAATTTTAGGCAACCACCTAAAGGTTCTGACATTTGCAGAGCCTCTCCACTTGGATGGTGATAAGTCAGGGACCCAAGATGTCAGTGTTTGAATTGTTCAGACTGGATTCACCCACATCCCCATGTAAATAGTACCAATCACCAGCTCACAGCCTCACAAGTGCTGGATATGATCAAAACAGCAAGAATGACATAGCCCTGGCCAAGCTGCTTCCCATATAATAGCAGTTTCTCTGTAGGGCATCATGCACTTTAGAACCTTCAGGAGAGCTTTTTGCATACTGGTGAGGTGGCAGGGTGGAGTGTGCCTATAATTCCAGCATACTAGGGGCCTGAGACAGGAGTATCACAACTTTGAGCCCATGGACAACTTATCAATTTAAAGTGAAAAAAAAATAGAAAAGGATGAGGAGTAGCTCAGGGTGAAGGACTGAGGTACAATCTCCAGTACCACAAAATCAATCAAAGCATAATGCAGGGCCAGGGATAAAGCATAATCCAGGGCTCAGTAACAGAGCAGTTGCCTAGCATGCAAGAGACACTAGGTTCTTTTCCCAGCACCATATAAAAAAAAAAGAAAGAAAAGAAAAGAAACCAAAAACCCTCCCCACCACAAATCAGCTGTGGACCCAGAAAGAGATACAACCAGGTTTGCAAATGCTTGCTCCATCACCATGCCCTCCTCCTATCACCATCCCCTCATCCCTACCTGACCAAGATGGAGATTTCCCGATCCAGTTGCAATCTTCATTTCTGTCCCCAGAGTGTACTCTGATCCTTATGCTCCTAACAGATTCCCTGTCTTTGCTTCTATAGGTGGCTATGCCTTTTCTCAAGCAGAAGGATCTGTGATCACTCAGGAAGAACTAGTCCGTTCTTACAACACTCTTGTAAGTGAAAGGAGGGGTTCATAGAAGAGGTCAACCTTTATTAATCACCAATGTGTAAGATGCAGATCACTGTATTCTTCCCCAAGACTGGTAAAATGAGCCAGACTCCCAATTGCTGGTTCCTGTGGCTTTGACAAGCACAGTCTGTTATTTATGTGTTGACTGATTCAGAAGAATAAACAATGGAGAAACCCCACTTGCTTTTTCTTAATTCTTTTTCAGTGTTTTACCCAATATATTCATTTTTCTGTGGCTGTGCGATAATTTATCAGTTCAGTCTGAAGTATAAAATGAAGAACTGTGTTCAGCAAAATTTAAACTTTGGCACAAGTTGTTTGAAGGAAAAATTAAAGGTGATATATTACCTAAAAAATCTATCGTGCCTAACGGGAAAGGGGTCATGCAGAATCTTCACATTTTGAAAACTCAGATTGAAGGCATGAGGCAGCTGTAAAACATTTCTCTAAGGATGTCTTGTCACTTTGAGTCACATTTTATTTGTATGAAATTTACACAATATTTCATTTCAGTGAACTCATAGGGATCGTCAATTCTCAAGATCAGGTGCATGAGAATCAACAAATTTCACTATTTTCTGTACATCAATTTACTCTCCATTCTGATTCTCCTATTCAAAATGTCTAGTAGGAAAATCAACCTCAGTCATTCCCGAGTCTCTGCCTCCAGCTACACCAACTCTCCAAGGTCTTACATGGTGCATAGCATTGAGACCCTCTGCTTTCTGTCATTAGCCCACATTCATCATCACTTAGAAGTATGGTTCCTTTTGGTGAGGCAGTTCTAGAAAGTTCTATCTAAGTATGAAGAACTGGTAGCATTTGCCCAGCAAAACCATTCCTCTTATGGGTCACACTGTATTCCCAGCGGGTCTTCAGAGAATGTTTTTCATATCCTTTCTCCAGTCCAGGTTAAAGTCTCCTCTCCCAGACTCTATTCAACTTAGATCAATAGTTTTAGAAATCATGACCATGAATCTTGAAGGTTCCCTCTATTTTCTGTACTGCCAAAATGACACCTCTGAGGAAATGAACCAAAAGCCTAACATCTATTTGAAGGAAGGTAAAGTAGAAAAACCCAATTCATATTTTTAGAAAGGGCTATACCACAGTGGTAGAGCACTTGCCTAGTATGTGGGAGATCCTGGGTTTGATCCCCAGAACCAAAACAAACAAACAAACAAACCTTCCCCCACACTAAAAATGTTATCAGCCAGTGATCTAACTGAGCTACATCTCTAGCCCAAATCTCTTCTTATAAGTTGACATTTTTGCAAGCCATCAAAAAAAAAAAATGTTTAGACTCATATTTTCTGCTGAGAACACAAATGATCCTTCTCTTCTGGCACCTCAGGGTAAAGTGTCACACGTTCATCTAAAGAATTAACAAGATGGGTCGGGGATTTAGCTCAGTGGTTCCACCTCCCGCCTTGCAAGCTCAAGGACCCCAATTGGATCCCCAGTACCAAAAAAGAAAGAAAGAAAGAAAGAAAAAGAATTAACAAGAAAGTAATATACCCCAGTGGGTTGTTTTTAGTTTTTTAAAAAATTGTGTTTTGGAGAGTATTTGCTCCCTGTCTACTACTGTCTAATACTGTGGTATTTTAAGTAACTGATCATTCTTAGAAATACTAAGCTGTGTTGTTTACCATCTTGATTGGTATTATTTTTATATGAATGGTTGCTTTATTTAATTATCAATCTTTTTTATGCCCCTCAACTCACTTTGGAAAATAGATTGTTTTTGCCCAAACTTACTAAAAAGGACCAGAATTAAGGAATCATCTGGCATTTAAACATTTTTAACATAATTTTCCCATAATGGACACATGGTTTATTGAAATTCCAAACTGAAAATAAAAAGGCTATCCCAACCAGTTTACATCTGTAAAATAAAATAAACATAGAAAGGACTTCTAAAAGTCCATTCAGGGCCAGGGATTTAGCGCCATGGTGCTGCTTCCTGCCTTGTAAGCACAAGGTCCTGAGTTCAATCCCCACCCCAATACAAAAAAAAAAAAAAAAAAAAAAAAAAAAAAGTCAGTTCAATCACCATTTCTGTTTGCTGTTAGGTAAAATAATGCCTCAGCTTTGGAAAAATTGAAACTTCCCTCATCTGTATGTGTCATTTATATTTCAAAATATTATAATTTTCCCTCATTAAGGGCAAACACACTAAATCCTCCAGAAAGGTACCATCCTAGTGGTACAGCACTCTTGGGAGCCAGGGATATCTCAGTACCACAAGGTGTAAGTCATCATTTGTTACCAGTTAGACTGACAGGCTGCTCCAAAGTTGTCAGACCCGTGGCTAATTAGGACACATCCTGACCAGGCACTTGGCTGAGATGAACTTCAGAGTCTGCTAAACTCAACCTCGCATGTGTATTACATTTGGTGAAACAAATACATAAAACAATATGTACTTTTATTATTATAAATCCTTTGGCTTTTCCCAATGGAAGTCAGTGGAAGCTTCTATCTAGCTTCCTTCTTGGGCTCCAACTTACAGCAAACGCAGCCCATTTTCTCTCCCTATTTCTTATTCCTAACTCAGCTTTCCTCTTTTCCTGGGTTCTACTTCTCAGAATACTGAAGAGACTAAAAATTCTTCATATTTTATTTTGCAAAGCAAATTGTTTCTTCAAATTCATAAAAACACCCCAATTTTTTTAGATAAGAGTTCTCAAATCTGCTTCAGTTTTTTTTTTTTTTTTTAAATTTTGAGACAGGTCTCACTATGTAGTTGAGACTGACCTGGACTGGGACTCACTATGTAGCCCAGGCTGGCCTCAAACTCACAGCAATGCTCCTGCCTCAGTCTCCGAGTGCTGGGATTACAGGTGTGCACCACCATGCCCGGCTGTTTTTGCTTTTCAATTCTAGCCCCTATGCCTCTCTTCTTCTTTCTTCTTTATCCTTTCTCCTTTCTCCCTTCTCCCTCCTCTTCTTCCTCTTCCTCCACCACCACCTCCTCCTCCTCCTTCTCTTCTTTTTTAAAAATTATTAGTGCATGTTTATAGGACATAATCTTCCTGATTTCCTTTTTATTTACTGTCTCTTAGCAGGCTTGTTTAAAAAATAGACTTTGTTTTTTAGAGTGTTATTAGGTTCACTAAAAAATTGAGCAGAAGCTACAAAGATTTCCCATCCACCTCTTCCCCGACACCCGCACAGCTTCCCCCAGTAACAGTACCCTACTAATGCTGTTACACTTGTTACTGTTGATAAACCTACATCCACATGTCATGTTTTAGTTAGTACATGCTAGCCGTACATAATGATTACATTTGTGCTGGAGAGTTGGTACACGTACGTAACACATCTCAATTCTTTTTATGTCTTGTTCTCTCCCATCCCTCCCTGCTCCCTCCATTTTTTGTTCCCCTTCCCATTTGTAAAAGCACTATTTCTATTTATTTCCTTCAGTTCTGTTTACTCCTCCCCCTTTTTACCCTCCCATTCCCCTTCATCTCTTGTCCCCCTTTACATTGAGAAAGATCTTCCTATTTCCTATTATCTATCTTCTATTTTGCTTTTTATTTATATTTTGGGTTTCTCATATAAGAAAGATGATTCAATACTTGAGCTTGTGTGTCTGATTTTTTCAGTTTATATTATGGTCTCAAGGTGTATCCACTTAACTATGAATGCTTCAAGCTGGAGATTTAGCTCAGTGGTTCCTCCGCCTGCCTTGCAAGCATAAGGTCCTGAGTTCAATCCCCTTTACAAGAAACAAACAAACAAAATATGAATGCCTCAAGTTTATCTTTCTTTATGGCAGAGTAGTACTCCATTGTGCATAAATACTGCATATTCTTTGTCCATTAATCTTTACCTATGAATGCCTCAAGTTTATCATTTTTCTGTGGCAGAGTAGCATTCCATTGTGTGTGCATTTCTTTATCCATTAATCTGTTTATGGACATATAGGATGCTCCCAAGATTTAGGTATTATGATGTGTGCTGTTATAAGCATGAGTATCCATATATCACTGTGATATGATGTGTTTAACACTTTTGGGAGAACATCTAGTATGGAAGTAGCTGAGACAAATGGAATTTCTAGTTTTAGTTTTTTGAGTCATCTCCAACTGATTTCCATATTGGTTATACTAGTTCACATTCTCACCAATTATGTAGCTACTTTTTAATAGTCAGTTTTTCCCCACAACCTTACCAGCATTTAATACTAACATGGTACCTTGGTTCATGAACTTAATTTGTTCCCCAATTCTGGTTTGTTTTTGGTTGTTTTGTTTTGTTTTGTTTTTAAGACATGGTCTCATTATATAGGTCAGGCTGGCCTTGAACTCTTGGTGATACTGCTGATTCATCCTGTTAGGCTCTGGGATTATGGGCATGTACCACCACACTTGGTTTATTCCATGATTCTGAAAAATATGGCCATGTTCATGTTTATGCATGAAAGATGGCTGTGGTCCTATTTGTCACCTGATGTAGAGTTCAAAAGCAAAAACAAAATTCTGCCAAACACTTCTACTTACAAACCAAATTGTTTACAAACAAAAGCTTCCAAGAACTGAGGTACCACTGTATTTGATTACTTGATGATGGCCATTCTTTCTGGAGTAAGATGTAATCTGTGTTGTTTTAATTTGCATATATATGATGGCCAAAGATGTTAAACATTTTTTCAAATATTTATTGGCCATTTATAAGTCTCTTGAGAAGTGACTTTTCATTTTGTTGCCCAATTTTTATTAGGTTTTTTATTTTGGGGATCTAATTCTTTGAGTTCTTTATATATTGCAAATATAAGTCCTTTGTCCAAGGAATAGCAAATATTTTTCCCATTCTGTATGTTGTCTCTTAACTCTGTAGGTTGTGTCCTTTGCTATGCAGATGCTATTAAATTTGATATAATCTCAATTTCATATGATCTCAAATTTGATATGTTGATTCCTGATATTATTTCTTGTGCAACTGAGTTTCTGTTCAAAAAAGTTCTTGCCTGTGCCTATGTCTCCAAAGTCTTACCTAATTTGTCTTCTACCAATTTAAATATATCTGTTTTGTTTTTTTTTCTTTTTATTGAGTTTATTGGTACAATCTAGGTATACAATACAGTTACATTCATTATTAGAATCGTGTACCTTTACATAATAGGTCTTGATTCTCATTTTTTCCTCTTGTCCCTGCCCTCCCTTCACCCCCT